GTCAAGGCACCTACAAAATTAAAGTACACTGCAAAGCTTGCTAATTCAACAGCAATCTTACAAGGTGCTATTGGGAAGTCTAGAAAATTAATGTTGCCCATTTGAACCTGAACTAGTCGGTCCAAGCACCTCATGAGAACCAGTCGCACGAGCCGCCCCCTTCCCTTTGCTCAGGATCGCGACAAAGCCGCACGAAGCAACCATTCCTTTCAAGTGCATGTTTCTCTCTCTCCAATCATATGAATCACGCAATTCTCCCTCCTCCCCTCGCGATGTTCCTGCTCCTGACCTTCTCGCCATTTAAATCAAATAGGAGGCTAGGGCATCATTCAATCTTCAATCCTTCTCTCTACAGCCACCAAATCTTTACCTTATCATTTCTCTTTGTTTCCTTCTCACAAACAGCAGCCACCAAATTCATCTTTCCCCTCTTTTATCTCTTTTTCATGGTGTTTTCCCCAAATCAACGTCATTGTTAGAAAAGAGCTCCCATCTTACTTCCTTATTTCTCTTGGATCTAGTTTGAGTATTCCCCCTCTATCATACTGACTAACCGAGATCGTTCAAACGAGAGTAAATTATTGTTATAATTTTTTTTGGGCATTTTGTAAGAATTGGCTGGTCAAGTTCATGTGAACCTGACCCTTTCACAAAAATGGGCAGGCGAGCAATTAAACCGCAGGCGAGCAGATAGCGAGCGAGGGAGCATGCCGAGCGCAGGTTGGCGCAAACAGTGGATTCGATCGCAATAGCAAGAGAAGATGTGTTCATAAACAAAAAGCAATGACTCCTCGTGGGAAAAAAACTACGATCTGTTCACTCCATTGGAATTAAACGAGCGAATGAAAGCAACAGTCGAGAGGAAAAAGGGTGAGAAAGAAAGCAAAAGAAAAAAATAGAGAGAGAGTTCTTGGGTTGCATTAATGACGATGGGGGAAATCGAGAGAAAGAGAGGAGTTGAGTGAAGTAGAGGACGAGGTCGGGAGCAAGCTTAAGTGAAAGAGGCAAGCACGCGCAAGGGCAAGGACGAGGGCGTATTAAGAAAATGTAAGTGTTTAAAGATTTTTTTATATTTAGTTAAATTAAATAATAATGATTAGATTTTAGATTAAAACTCGATAATAACTAATATGTAATTAAATTATTAAATTAACATTATCTAAAAAATTTATTATAGATAAATTTTATAAATATAAATTTTGAAATGCTATTGAATTTAATTTAAAATTCATGATCATATATTTTGATATTAAATTTAAATTAAATATAATAAGATTTCAAAGCTAATTATTGAAATAATTAATGGTTTAAGAGCAAAATTCATCTTACAAATTTAATATATGAAATAATTTGAGTATTTATTTAAAAAAATAATAATAATGATAATAATAAAAAAGTACATTATTGTTAGATTGGTAAAAATTTATGGGAGTAAAATTTAATACTAAAATTAAAGAATATTTGGGTTAGAGATAAATTATAAAGTATAATGTAATCATATAGGTGTTAAGATGGCGTCGACAAAGTGATAACAAAGGTGAATTTTCAAGGCATCTAATTAAGGTGAGTATCCATATCTTTTAATTACAATAATGATTTTATTCTCTCTTAAATTAAATGCATCGAAAAATAGTAATACCTGCTTATTAAGTTTTTATTGCAAGCTAGACTATGATTTGTCTTTCTCATATCCAATGATTAGTCATGTTGAATCAAATGAAAATAAATATGTTATGATTTGCATTTTTCATATAAAATAAATGAATGTTATATAAATGAAATTGTTAAGATAGATATGTTTGCATGTGCATGTAGAGTGATGGAGCACATCCCTCATAATACTGGCTGGGGACGCAATATACATGTGCATGTAAATGGAAAATGTTATGAAAAAGAAAAAGGAAATGAAAAATGAGTACCTTTACTGATATTATTTTAGATGGTGACTCCTATGACGGTTGTATTATTTACGATAAAGGATAAAAATATGATATATGTATAATATTGATGGTCACGTTTGAAATGAATTTAAATGAAATTACTTTATGTTTGGAAATAAGCATGTATATTATTTCAAAGGCTTAGTGTCACAGAAATTTAGAAGAATAATTTACTCACTGAGTTCTTTATAACTCACTATTGTTTCCAATAACATTCAAAGGTATTATTTGATTAACTTAAAATGAGTAGAAGATAAGATAATATATATCATAGAAGAGATTCTCCGAGGGGAAGATAATTAATATAACTTCTTTATTTAGAAGTTTTTAGTGGCTCTTTCAATTCATTGGTGATAGTTTTAGCAAATTAAAATTCAAATCAACTATCCAACTGTTTATTCCCGCATCGTTAATTTAAGCCCTGAGTTGGGTCATGACATATTTAGAATGGATCAATGGAGTTACATCTTAATCTATTTCACTTATCTTCTATATTTTTATTCATGACAGTAAGTTCTCATTCTATGTTGTAATTTAATTCATAAATTATAAAATTTATATTATTTTAGATGTTTTTGACTTTATCATTTTATATCATGAATCTTATAGGCTTGATTTTTAATATTCAATGTATATATTTAGGTTTGAGTTATATAAGCTTTATGTTTCAAGCATTTGATTCCTTTAGTGGTATCCTGAATATTAAATTAGAATTTTCATTTATAGGGCCTTTGAGTTGTTATCCTAGTGATGTTGTCGATTGAACATCTTTTTGGCTTGGGGTTTACTATCACTTGTCTAGACATAAGTAACTGTTATTTATTAAGGGATAAATGTACCCTGCTTTGTTAGGGGTGTTATTCTTGTTTCTTGTACTAGACTTTTGGATATTAGATTGTCAGTTCTATTTTCAACGTTTATTTATTAGTATTGTGCATGTTAGGAATTTTATTTATCACTCATATTGAAAGCATCATGTAAAAGTAATAACATCACTTTTATTTGTTGATGCACAAGCTTTTATCATTTAAAATGGTTAATGCTGTAGAAAATTTAATTCATACATATCAGCTCTGTTTAATACACTAAATTATACCCATGTTGTAAATTATGGTGGTTATACAATTTGTTATTATCATGTTGATTTATATAATACATGTTGGTTATTTGTAAAAAAAACTTATGATTGTGTTACTATATTTCTTTGGGTTTGTGTTTCGGTGATGGATATTTGATAAACTGATTATAGTTATATACGTATAAATGTATAAATATATAATTGGACATGAATTGAAAATAAAAAATGATTGATAAGTCATTTTGAGGTACGATGATACCTAGTTTGGTTGCATTTATAAGCATTGAAAGGATTTAGCATTAGTAGTAGTTTGGCATATTCCTTGTAGCACTAGCATCTACCATAGAAAACATGGCATGTGTCATTTCTATTTTGATTTAGTGACTATATGATGTTACTCTCGCCTCTTTTGGTTGTTCACTCTACATGCCTCATTCCATTGTTGTTTATACTTTAATATATGAGTTACCTGTAAGGTTTGATTTATCAAACTCATTTATGATTGTCTCTTTACAATAGGTCCTGCCAATGTGTTAGCGGACAATCACTTCAGGAACAGATTTATCAACCGTAGACTATATTTGATATTTTATATTTTGTAGCAAATTATTATGCATTTAATTTGGGTCGGGTAGTTTCATTCATATTGTTATTTTTTTCAGACTTATTTTACTTGTAATAGTCATATTATTTTGGTGTACTATTTTTTAAATTAATATTAATAAAGTAAACATTTAATTTTCTTCTTATTATTTACTCTGATATATTTGATTGTATTAATGATTTATGCACTTTTCTCTTTTGTGAATACAAAAGATATATTTATATCCTTTCATTGCGTCTCGTGTTGCTAGAGTGTACTGCTTTCCAAACCCAAAATGTGACATTACATAACTTCAAAACTGAGCTTGGATGCTAAAAAAGTTGCTTACCTAAATAAATATACCTACACATCTACGACTTCGTAGCTTCAACCTACAAAGGTTGCACCAACAAAATCAATGATGGTCCACACCTCACTCAACAAGATGCCAAGGCATCAACACCATCTTTCACTCTTTAAGAGATAAAATGAAATCAACTTCACCATCCAATCTAAAAGACTATAAAAAAATCAACTTCAGCTTCCACCCAAAGAGGTGATTATGCAACTTGTATGCATTTCCACTTCAAGTGGTGACACAAAACCTGCATTGACTTCTAACTAAATGGGTGATGTAAGATCGACTACACCAAAATACTTGGGCACCGATATTCTTTCCAGAGAATCAACCAGATCCCCAAAGGGCCCCCTCAACCCTAAAAGGTAATGACACTCTCACTAATCACTAAATTAGTTTTGCACTTGATCCATAAAAAATTGTCTTCGATAAGACAACCAATGGTTGATAAACAACCATGACAAGCTCAAAGGATCTATAGTTATGATCAACACAAGCTTGCTAGCATAATGTCTATACTTGTAGCACATAGCTCCCTAACTTAAAGCTTACATTGAAATAGCCTAGCCAAGGATCCCCAACTCTTTGGATTAGCCCACCCAAAAACCTCTAATCAATGGAATCACGAGATCTTCAAAGGATTTACCATTCGTCCCCACACCCATTGTCCAAACCAGAACATATAACAAAAAATATTTGAGAGTTCACCACCATAGAGCAAGTAATTTGGAAACTAAAGTCAAGTTATCTCCTTAATAGAATGTATTCTCCCAAAATGAATGGATAATTAAGTATACAACGCCCATAAGAAGTGTTGATTCCCAAATCTATTTTAATACCAACATCACGAAAATCATGGCCATAATATCAATCTACATTTTAGAAAATAAAGCAATGTTCTCGACGAGAACACTGTGGGCTTCTCTACAAAATCTCACAATAAATATAAATCATACTTTAAGAAAATGCAACATAAATAGAATAGAAACTAGGAGGGAAATTTTTATTAAAGATATTCATATTTTTCCATATTTAACTGACCTGTTGCTCAATATTATAGGTTGGAATGACTACACCTCCCCAAGATTCAAATCGATAAATATCCAAGTAGTTTCTCTACAATAAAAAGGTAAAGAGATAAACGGTGAGAAATACTTGAACATATTGACAATAATTCAAATAATAAAAAACTTTAGCTATTTAGCCAAATATGGATTAAATTTAAATTGATGAACTTTACAAGAAGTGTGAGTCGCAGAAAGATTGAAAAATAAGCAATAGCTTAAAAGGAGTTACAACCATGCTATATGTAATATTTAAATCAAATAATTGAACTTTAAACTAAATAAAAGGAACAGCATGGACTGAATCTTCATATGATACACTAATCATAATATGAGAAAGCTTTCTAATCATATTTGTAAGTTTAAATATGATAATCATCAGAGGAAGAGCAAGAAAAATATGTCCTATATAAATTGTCCTTTAACGAAGTATAACTTCTAACCAACCAATGTTCGACACTTATATTTTTTATTAAAAAATCATGCTCGTATCAACAAAAGCATGATATACAAAGGGTTGCATAAAATATCCTGATTTCACGTTAGACGTTTCCAAAATACCAAGGGAAATACCACTCCCTACATAACATTAACATCTGTGAGAGAAACATGCCAAAGAAGGCTTAGCATATGTTCTAGCCAGTTGGGAAGGTTCAGTTCAAGATGTCATTGTCCTTAGAAATGCATTAAAGCAACCTGATAGTTTGTGTTCCAAAATAAACAAAAGTTGACGCCATATAAAGTTTCATAATTAGTTGTGATACTCCCAAAAATATAAGTAAAATAAATGTTGCCGGTAAATATTATCTAGTTGATGGCAAGTATTGATAGACCTGCAGCTGAGCCGGTGGGCCCCATTGGGTGGGCGGCGGGCAAAAAGAGAGGAGAAATTGTTTAGGAATGATTTAATTATAATTGGGAGAGAACTAATAAGGGAAAGAGATATAATTTGAATTCAAATCTGAGAGGGAATTCTTTAGGAAAAGGTGGTTGATTTGGGAGGAAATTAGGGGAGCATATTTAAGACTATGGGGTGATTTCATATTATTCTTGAATTCGTTGGAATTAGTTTTGCTTAGGTTGAGTGGGCTCTAGCTGACGGCTAAAGAATTTGGAAGAGCCTGATCTTCCTCTCCACTTGATGATCTAACTGTATCTTGTGTTTTTCTTCTCAATTCTTTCAATAAAAAAAAATTGTGTTCATCTTCCTAAATTTCTTTTTTGGTTCTCTAATTTTGCTGGAATTGCATCACTTCCTATCAAATTGGTATCAGAGCATAGATCTAGGTACCTATAGCAGAAAGAAAGCTATAAGTGTTGGAAGAGGAGATTAGACAACTGAAATCTAAATTTTTTTATTTCCAAAGTCAAATTTTAGTCATCCATGAGAAGATCGGTGGGAAGTTTACCATCATGGAGGATATGATGAGGAAGATGTTCGAAGTCCAAATCAAAACGGCGTCGTTGGAGGAGGGGGGAGCTGTGATGGGGACATCAGATTATGGAAATTATATCATAGATGTGGCCGACTATCTACAACCACGATTGCGTCAATCTATTTTTGAGTCATCATATGTATTTGTTTTAGTTATTTGCTTTTTGTATTTGTTTTGGTTGTATTTCCCTTCTTACCCTTAATTAAGGGTTTGTCATGTGTAAGCCCTAAGGGCTAAGTCGTCTATTATATTCTCATTCATTGTATGAGGCTATATATACCCCCCTTGTGTTTCTTTTGAAGGTAATGAATGAATTATAATGAAATTCCTGCACATTGAATTATTGTGAGAGCTTGAGAGTTTTTGGAGAGAAAACCCTTGGAGAGGGAAGCAAATCACCCAACCTTAGAAGAGTCCGGGTTCGTGATTAGTTTCTTTCTTGTCTTCATCCCCTTTCTCCCTCCCTTCCCTTCTACTCCACAGTCCCTCCAAAAACCCCCAACCCGCCGGCCCACCATAAGCCCCACCTTTTTCCCTCTTGGCTAACACCCTAAACTCCCCATCTCCCAACCGACCCCCCATCTCCCCCTCACCAAAACCAGCGGCCATCCAACCCTAGCTACCGCCCCCCCTAGAGTTTTTTTTTCCATCAACGCTTGCAATTAAATCCTTCCTAATCAGGTCTTTATATTTTAGGTAACTCAATTAATTCACAATTCAAATCTATTTGAATTTGAATGGTTTCCTAAAATACGAAGTCTATTTTAGGAAAGTTTCCAAACTCCACCCTTTTGAATTTTAAATTAAATTAGAATGAAATCCTTCATTCCTAATTTAATATTCTAAATCAAGAAAGCTTGATTCATTGCCCCAAGCCTCCCTCTCTCTCTCTCTATGCCCACCCACTAAATGCTTTCCAAAATCAAGCATCTTACTTTGGGAAAAAATTCAACTTCTCCCTCTCCTCTTACCGGCCCTTCCCTCTCACCTATTTCCTGTTTTAATCCTTTCCAAACTTAAGGATTAAATAGGGAAACAAATTCCCGAATTTCACTCCATCCTTCCTCCCCAAATTTTGAACCAATTTCTCCACAAGCCTCTTCCTTTGGCCGGCCACCTCTTACCTTTTTTCTCACTTGGATTCTTAAGAGAAACTTATTTCTCTCAAGAGGAATCCTTAAAGAGAGCAAAGGACATCGTCTACAACACTTTAACCCTACGAAATCGATGTATGGCCGATCCCGATCTTGACTCTAGCTTCGTCTACAATGAGCAAGGATTCGTCGACATCCTCTGGTCGACTTTCTTCGACGTCAATTCGGAAATAGACAATTCCGCCAAGGAGTACTTAGATCGTGTCATCTTCACCTTGTTCGAAGCCATCGAATAGCAGCTTTCCACCGTTCGGTGGCAAATCACCACCGTCCCACGACGAGGGTGAACTTTTCCTCCAATTCAATTTTCTCTTAATCTTCTTCTCTTGTAGGTTGTGAATCAAGCACAAGGAATCGTGCAAAGCTATCTGCCAATGCTTAGTAAACGTATGGCAAGAGTTTTGATTTTCTATGCTTTCTAATCTCATTGTTAATCTAGGGATGCTATTGAAAATCTTCTTAATTTGCATATGTTGAAATTCTAATTGCTTTGGTGATCTCAACTTTTGGCGTGTGATTTGGCCTAAGCGAAGCCACCTCTCTTTTGTTTTCTATTATCGTTTAGTAGCTAACGTTTTTAATTCTTATTGCTCTTACTTGAAGCATGCAAAACCTTATTTCATTTAAATCATATACCTAGTCCTGCATCAAGCTGCCAACATCCAATGGAGTGGAGGAAACCCTAATCCGATAAGGAGAGGGGAAGATCATGAGGTGAAAATTTTGGGGTAAGAAGAGGAGATGCCACCTTTGGAGCCACTTCAAAGGAGAGAAAAGGGTAAAAGGAGTTGAATTTTTTGTGGAGCTATAGAGTTTGGAAGGAGAAAAAGGATGGGTAAAAGATAGAAGCACGGCTATAGTTTAGCTGCCCCTACAGTAGTATCAAGGGGTGTTCCAACCATTTCAGGGGTTGTCTCCTCCGCAGAAACGCGAGCATGATATCATCTTGAAGGAAGAAGTCTCACCAATCAGTGTTCGTCTGTATCGTCATGCTTAAATCCAGAACGAAAAGATTGGGAGATTGATTGGGAAGATGCTTGAGACAGAGATCGTTTGACCCAATGTCAGTTCATTGTCTAGTTCAATGCATCAACAACAGTTTCCTTCGTTCCACCTTGACGACAATGTGGTCTTTGGGAGGGGAGTATTGATGGATCGGCAGCTTAGCCGGTGGCCCCACTAAGGTGGAATGAAGGAAATTGATTTATGAAAATTTTAATTACAATTAGGAGAGAATAAATTAAGGAAAAATATTTAATTTGAATTCAAATATGAGAGAAAATTATTCATGAAAGGAAGCTGATTTGGGAAGGAATTATGTGAGCCTATTTAAGGCTAACTATGGAATGATTTCAGATAATGCTTGAATTTGATGGAATTAGTTTTGCTTAGGTTGAGTGGTTTCTAGCCAACGGCTAGAGAATTTCGGCGAGCCAGATCTTCCTCTCCAATTGATAATCCAACTGTATCTTGTGTTTTTTTCTTCTTATTTCTTTCAATAAAAAAGAGTTTTTTTGTTTTTCTTCCTAAATTTCTTGTGTATTTATCTGGTTTTGTTGAAATTATGTCTACTTTTTATCAGTGCTCTAACAAAGAAAAACTAATTTCTCAATATCTCAATATCGTGCCGCATGGTATCACCTAAAGAAGTTTTTGCAAAGAGCAATTCAATCTTCAACATTCATCACTATGTAAAGTGTAGAGCATACATTTGATTCATTGAAGAATTGTTTTGCAAATATAAAGCACAAACCTTTCTTTCCATTGGAAACCTAAGTTAACATTGTGCTTGCATGTTGTATCATATATAACCGGATAATTACAAAAGGTGAGGATGACTTCATTGTCTCAAAAAATGAATGAACAAGAAGAGGTTGTGCTAGAAGGAGATGTGAGGCAATGTTATATGACTCCGAGAATGGTTGAAGAAGAGAAACCAAATTGCTACTACCATATGGAATCGCATGGAATTGTGGTAATAAATAAGCAACAAAATAATTGCTTGGAGTCATACTAAAAAAGTTTAGAGCATCTTGGAATGAAAATAAAAAAAAAATTATATTAATGAGTCTTGAGAAGTACTCATCACATATCCAGGCATTCTTTCTTATCAAGTACCTTTTTCAACAAATACAAAATAAAATAAGGCTAATGCTTTATGTTTGTAGTGATCCAGACTATTCCAAGAGATAAAACTTTTATGAATACTACTAAGCAAATTACATAGAGTAAGAGAGGTCTACAATGATGGACATGCTAATGGAGATTGGGCTAAATTGAGAAATTAGCAAACTCCAATTGGCACCCAACAAATTAACTTGGGTGATAACAATAACTCAGGTTATGTAGAGACTAACATAAATGCATTACAACCTATTAGTTGGGCTGAACTGGATATTCAAAAGATCATGCATGAATAATAAAACGAACAATATCACATCTTCTAAGAGATGTATCTGTTACGCCGGCTCAGGAGGGGCCGGCTGGACCGGTCCAGCCCGGACCGGCCCACTGTTACTCCAGGCGGAAAAACAGAGGGGGAGCACAGTTTGAGCGGAAAAACAGAGGGGGAGCACGGTTTGAGCGGAAATCAGAGGAAAGCCACGTTGGCTTTGGGTGAGTTTAGGAGGGAAATTATTTGAACTAAGGGCTGTTTAGGTATTTTGAAATATTCATTTGTCTTTAATTAGGAGTTTTGGAGGGATTTAGAGCATCTTGAATTTGAATTATTTTGAGATCGAGGGTTTGATGTTCTTGGGCTCTTGGCTTTGCCGGAGATCGTTGGAGAGTTTTTCCTTCCTCTCGAATTGAAGGAAAGTTGTATCTTGCAAGTGTTTTTCATCTTCTATTGAAATAAAAGTGTTTGCTTCGTTTCCCTACGAGTTTCTATTGCGTTTCTCTCAGTTTTTCCCTGTTTCCTGCTGTTTTTCTGCTGTGGAAAGCAGTTGTGCTGTTGAATTTTCACTGGTTTGGGTTAGGATTGCTTGCGAACTCAAGTATTTCCTATCAGTATCCCACCAAAAAAAGAATAAGGGGTCTGCAATTGACCAAACTCTTCAACACAACATTGTTATAATGGTTGATAGTGTAACTCAATTTTCTAATACAATTCAAAGTACAACAAGAATTTCTGAGGAATAAAAAAGGTTCATTTAACGCATGAAAGAGCTATCAAGCATTACAGAATTTTTTAATAAAGAGATCGATGCTATTTACAACAACTTATCCAAGAACCCAATAATAAGTCATTCCTTTTTCTCAAAACTTGCGGAATCAAAGGTTAGATAGATGCAGAGAAGATAGACAAATGATTTTATAATATAGGACTTAACTTAATGAGATATATCAGCATTTTGGACCTCAATCTTCAAATGTATTTGGGAATAATGAAATAGTATTGATCATTTTTGGTCATCCTTAAATTGTTGCTAGTTCTACTCTAGATATGATTATACTACTTTTACTTTACTCTATACACACCCAAACAAACAACCCACACGCAAGAAATAGGCCAGTTCGGCAGCTTTTTCTTCAATTTCTTGTGGAGTCAAATTCTCATCAGTACAGGTCATGGGAATGGCTCCTTGACCCCTGATTTCCATATTAAGGACATGGCAAGGAAAAAGACCCTCTATCACCTCCATTATGATTGATTGGATATCTTTCAGAAAGAAACAAAAGAAGATACGACAATTTCTTCCAGAATTACTTCACATGTATATACTCAATCAAATCAGATAAACAATTCCCCAGTATTTACTTTACAATCAACTAAGCCCTAAATATTCAAAATAAGTTACATTTACCTTACATTGTATCCAATTTACTTTACATTCCTTTTTTTTCCAAATCAAATAGCCTCTAATTGGAATAATTAGATTTATCATCACAATATTAAAAAAAAATAGCAAGTGGACAATAAGAGAGATTATCTTCGAGGATAAATATAATTTGAAAGCATGGAGAGCTCCTCTTCAACTCCAATGATGAAGTGTAAAAAGAGGTTACTCACTGCTTTTATCACAAGCCCGGTAGCAGAAAACTGTTCACCAGCAATATCAATCTCAACCTTAGTTTCAGCTCCTACAGCTGGTTGTGATACACAAGCAAGGAAATGGCGCACAACAAATTCATACAATCTCTGAAAGGATAAAACAAAGATCAATAAAAAGCTCAATATGCAAGTAATAAGATTGAAAAACATAGATAATAAATTTCATAGCAGAAGATTTGAAAAAAAAAAAGGCTTAACAAAGCATTGTCTAGAGAGAGAGATAGAGATTACCAACTGTCGCCTGAAAATGACTTCTTAGGTTGTTACAAACCTTATGATCTTCAGTCCATCCTGGCACACCAGCAAATAACTTTGTTGGATGAATAGGAGGATGTGCTTTGTCATCATGTCCACCATTACTAGGATTTCTCCAAAGCCTCACCTCAGGGTCCAAAAGTTGTTGGGCATATGGACCCCAAGTTGGATCTACAACTTGCTCACGTACAATAGCCTAGGGAATCAGATTGCAATCAACTCAGTTCTCTAGATGTTATGCATGTGTACTCTTTCAACATTGTTCGAAAACCAAATTTTGCTGAAAGGTCAAAGTAACTCAACCTTCATTTGTTCAAAAATACGTAGAATTACAATAAAATTTAGTCACACAAGAAAACTAAATTTGCTCTCAAAATGAGCATTGGATTAAAATAAAATTATTACAACATCATACGGTTAAACGTGAAATAAGGTACAAACATGTAAATCTGTGTTAACTGAGAAACCATCCGTCTCTGTGCGTGGATAACTGATGAATCCAGCCTGGTAAAGCTCCTCAGCTACCTAGCGTTTCAAAAAATATGAAAAAGATTACCACAGAAAATGAAGCTTACTATGAAACCAACTAATCAATCCAAAATAAAGCACAAAAATAAGATGAATATTTGATGACAAGGAATTCAACTCAGTCTCGATGTAAGAAATCTATGGTCCAAAGATTGTGAAAAGTCAAACCTAGTTTCCATGTTATTGGGTTGCCTAATAACTTGTTAGAAAGATTTTTACCTCTTTTTCGCAGAATTATCAAAGCATGAGCAGCGCTAACATAATTTAGTTGGCTTATCTTAAAAATAAAAATAAAAAATCATATGTTCACACATTATTTTTCAACAAACTTATGATTTAATACATCAATAGTTTCCGCACAACAGCATAACACCCATATGACTAGAAAGCAAACAATAAACCCTACCGGACTATTTTCTTGAACCTATAAGAACAAATTCAATGTCAAATAAACCAGACTGCAAAACCAAACCATCTTGGCAATAGTTACCAAATTTTCACCTTCATTGTATGTTCGGAACTCATCCTAAAAAATCTAGATGCCCGTTTCTGGAGCTCGACAGTACTTAGTGGATAAGGAGGATACTTCAATTTTTCCTTATGTTTAACATCAGTGACCTGAAAAATAATTTTTTTATCAATTAAGCTCATTAGCGAAACCAATCTGCAACTTGGAAACATTAACAAGTGACTGACAGTTGCCATGGGATCTTCAACACACATTTCATAAATTATAACAGCGCATGTGTAATCAAATAGGTGTCCTCTCCTGCATTAAAAAAATATATATATAATGAGGTAAAAGGGAGAAACTCATCTGTAACAACTTCAAAGTAACGTTAAGAATGCAGCTGATTATTTCATTACATCCAAGAGAAAGTAGCAGTGCCCTCTTCGGAAGTATGAGAACAATTAATGGTCCAGAATTCTTCAGGTTCATGTGCCTGTATCTCCCAATACCTTTCAACTATGAAACCCAGAGTAGGAAACTGCAGGAGAAAGGAAACAGAAAAAAAAAATTAGATAAGCATGGCACACAAACCTAATTCCACACAGATATAGAAGAGTTAATAAGGTAACATTGTCTCTATTTACAAAACCTGACAAGGGCCATAGCTCAGAACAATACTTCGATCATCCCCAGCAAAATCTAAAACAAATGCATCTCTTAGAAGCATTGTCTGAAACCTAGTAAATGATGCACCAATTCTCAAGTCAATTTCCTGCCAAGAGTTTCCAATATCAGGTATCTTTGTAGGTTTCTAATTAACTGAGTGGAATAGAAACTGGAAGTCAACACTGAATGCTTCTTTTATTGAAGAAACAAAGGCCTAAAAAATAACATAGAAAGAAAAAAAGCAAATATTGGGCCGATAGCAATGAAGATAAAGAAGCCATGTGTTTCCCTAACACTCTACAATTGGCAGTATCTTCAACTCATAAGGGATGTGTTTCTTAAACCACCTGCCTGGCATCCACTGCATCTGCAAACAATTTGTTGGGTCGAACAAGATTCTGAACAGATGCATGTATCTCCCTGTCATTATGAAATTACCACTGCATGTCAATATAGGAAGTAAATTAATGAAAGACTGGAATATCAAAAGGCCTGATCCCTATATCTTAATACCTATCTATCAATGCTGAGAAACGAGCTCTCCATATGTTGAGGTGACTATTTGCAGAAGTGCAAACATCAACCACTTCAAATGCAATATTTTCCCCTTCCCTGTCGCAGTCTAACCACAATACAAGCCAGTGGCACCTCCTAGACTCTTCTTCCAGCGTCCTTTTCAAATCCAACTTGTCCTGCACACAGTTGACACCAGCTATGTATGGTTCAATGAGTTTTAGGCTTCATTTAGCATTTTGTACAAGTTTTCCGCTGTTTATTTATAAAATTTAGCTGCCAATACTCCTGCTGAGATAGAAAAGTTGTCCTGAAAGTGTATTTCCGAAGCTATAAATTCATCCAGGAAGAGTAGGAGCAATATAGAGCTTTCTATAATGCCCGGGTATTGAAATTTAAGCCAACTAAATTGTTAAAAAACTAAGCCTTAAAGTTTAAAAATATATATATCTCAGGCGGACGTCGCAAATGCATAAGCCTCAAAGCAGACAAACGCAGCTCCAATACAAAAATGTACTATTTTTTACCAAACCTAAAATGCAGGAGAACCGTTTGAGCAAATGCTGCGGAGATGACGAACCTGCGGGACGTACTTGCGGATGGGGGCGTGGTAGAGGTCCGCGGGGTCGCAGGAATGCCACTTGCGGAAGCGATCTTCGAAGTCGATCTCCATGAGATGGCCAGTCACGGAGGTCATTAGCATGTGACAGAGCTGGCCGCCGATTGTGTACTCGAACTCGAAAACGCGGTTGTAGCGCGAGCGGCCCTCGCGGGACCTCATGCCGCTGCCACCGCGGGATAGAATCTCCGCCACCGATTTCGCCACCGAAGGCTTCTCAGCCACGTTCAGAACCCGAATCTGGCCGCGGATGGACATGTGATCGTCGGACTTAGGGCAAGTTAGGGGAGAGCTCGCTGGACCCAGTGGGATTGCATTGGGAAATGAAACAGCGCGTAATAGTGGTGATTCGGATAGTCATTCTCATATAAAGTGCGGGAAAATAGACGGTTGCTACTTGCCAGTCCACATGTGATCTAAATTAAATAAATAATTGAATAAAATATGCGACCTATTTTTTTTCCTATTCCATTTATTATGCGACCTTTGATGCGGTGCATCACAGTTGGCTCGCTTAGTTATTTATGCCTACGGTTATTTATTCTTGCATTTAATAGTTATTTTAGAATTGATGTCACATTCCTTTATGGCGTGGTCATCCCACTAGTTGTCTTTCTCGTTTTGAATAGTTTAGTACATATAAGTCTTTTTTATTGGCTCGCTAGTTTCAGCAAGAGTGATACCTCTTGACAGTATTTCATGTATCTCTTCTCCGGGAGAAGAGTAACACAGTTTTTTTTATCCTCTATAGTAAAGCTTCAGCTAAAGGCCTTTTGGGTATTCATTCTTGGCATTTTGCACCTGCTTCTACCATTAAATACCACATCATCTTGGTATCAGAGCCAGCGGCTCGGTGAGATGGCAAAGTCAAGCAAGCGTGTCTCAAGTGAGGAGGATTGCAGTCTAGACGCGCTCTGGGCAGCACACGCGGTTGTAGTCAAGCGGCTAGATGATATAGTTGCTGCATTAACTCGTCTTATAGTGGAACATCAGTGTGAGGTGAAAACCGCAGCCACCGGAACCTTGCTCGCAAACCTGTGCGGCTGACCACACCGGCTATCACACCGGCTGGCAGGTATGGAGGCCAGTTACATCGCGATAGGAGAGGAGCTCCACCTTTTATGGAATCGTCGGATTCAGAAGGAGGAGATGGAAGCTACATCCCGAACGGGATGTCAGATTCAGGAGATGAAATCGGAGGGAGACATCAACACCGGCATGGGGGCACGCTAGGCACCCGAGAGAGTTTCGAGTTAAACTCGATATTCCATTCTTCGACGGGAAACTCCATATTGAATACTATTTAGACTAGGAGCGAGCTATTGAAAACTTTTTTGATTACATGGAGATTGATCAGGATAAACAAGTTCAATATGTTGCTTGCAAACTTAAGGGAGGAGCCAGTGCGTGGTGGTCACAGCTTCTTCAGTCTCTTCGTCGCGAGGGCCGTGGGCGGGTTCACACTTGGAGCCGGATGAAGCAGCTTCTATGAGCCCATTTTCTCCCCACTGATTTTGAACAAATGTTGTACTTCAAGTATCAGCATTGCACCCAAGGAAACCGCTCCGTTAGTGAGTATACCGAAGAGTTCTATCACTTTAGTGTCCGAAATGATCTGAATGAAACTACAAACCAATTGGTTGCTCGCTACATCGGAGGACTCAGAGACTCCATACAAGACAAGTTGGAACTAAATTATGTTTAGTCCCTATCTCAAACTATGAACTTTGCACTCAAAGCTGAAATACAACTAGACCGCCACCATCGCAGCGGATCATTTAGGCGGATGCCGATCAGTGTTGGGCATGATGCCGCAAAACAACTAAACTCGACCCTCTGCAAGGCTCCTTCGCCCGTCGAGAGCAACCATCCCAATAGCCTGGGCAATCTCACGGTAAACATAAGGATCCCACAAAGACCAAGAATGGTCACCAAGGAGAATATGTATTCACGACCACAAGTGATCAAATGCTTCAGATGCTTTCAACAAGGACACAAGTCCAATGAGTTCCCCACGCATCAACAGCTACAATTTATGGGAGCCGGTGATGGAGATGAGAATGAACCAGGAATTCTTGAGCAGGAACAACATACTGATGTTGAAGAGGTGGTTGGAGATGAAGGAGAGCCCCTCATTTGTGCTTTAGAAAAGTTACTGTTGGCTCCGCAGACACCTTCTAATATGCAAAGACATGTCATCTTCCGAACTAACTGCACCATTGAGGGTTGAGTCTATGACCTGCTTGTTGATAGTGGATGTATCGAGATATAGTTTCTCGTGTAGTGGTGCAAGCTCTCCAACTTAAAACCACAAAGAATCCTCAACCCTATAAAATAAGCTGGGTTAAGAAAGGCATGGATATAATTGTGTCTGACATGTACAAGATCAAGTTCTCCATTGGCAAACATTACTCTTGTGAGGTATTATGCGATGTCTTGGATATGGACGTGTGCCACGTGATCTTGGGCAGACCTTGGCAATTCGATGCCGGTGCAATTTATGACGGAAGAGCCAACATTTATTCTCTTGATTGGAAAGGGCGGAAACTCAGACTTTTATCTCAACCTGTAGGTCATACTCCAAAGGCCAATGATGCCAAAGCGGCTATACATATAGTGACAGGTGGAGCACTCCTCTCTACTTGGCGTGAAACATCACTCCTGTTTGCATTATATGTTAAGGAACTTGCATTGCCAAACTGTGACAGTAAACCGGAGAGTAAAGTTACTCAACTAATGTCTCAATTTCATGATGTTCTTCCTGTTACCTTGCCGAAGACCCTTCCACCATTGAGAACGTTGCAGCATCAATTTGTTCTTATATCGGGGGCAACTCTTCCCAACCTTCCTCATTATAGAATGAGCCCGAAGGAACATCAAGTACTACAGCAGTTAGTGGAGGAACTGTTGGAGAATAAACTCATTCAACCGAGCCTGAGCCCATGCGTAGTACCCGCACTACTTCCCAAGAAGGATGGGAGCTGACGTATGTGCATAGATAGCCGAGAAATCAATAAAATTACCGTCAAGTTCCGATTTCCTGTCCCGCGGGTTAAGGAGTTACTGGAAAGGTTGACCGGAGCAACAATTTTTTCTAAACTTGACCTTTGCAGCAGCTACCATCAGATACGCATTCGACCAGGCGACGAGTGGAATACTGCATTCAAGACTCGTTAAGGACTTTATGAATGGAAGGTGATGCCCTTTGGGCTATGCAACGCTCCCTCAACCTTCATGAGGTTAATGAACGAGGTTCTTAAACCCTTATTAATAAAATTTGCATCGTATATTTCGATGACATTCTTATATATAGCTCTTCTATGGAGGACCACTTAAGCCATCTAACAATTATATTCACTGCTCTTAGACAAAATGAGCTATATTTAAACCCATCCAAGTGCGAATTTGCTGCAGCAAGTGTCTACTTTCTTGGATTTGTTATATCTGTTGAAGGGGTGCAGGTGGACCAACGCAAAATTGAAGCGATCACGGGATGGTCGAACACGAAGTCCTTTTTCGACATACGCAGCTTCCATGGTCTCGCCAATTTCTATCGCCGGTTTATAAAGAAGTTCAGTACCATCATGGCGCCAATCACCAATTGTCTCATGTTCAAACAATTTTATTAGGGACAAGAACATCAAGCAAGCTTTGAGTCTATTAAAAAGGCCTTATCTTCAACCCCCGTACTTGCCCTTACTGACTTCGGCAAACAATTTCACATGGACACCGATGCCTCGGCAATCGACATTGGCGCTGTGTTGAGCCAAGAGAACAAGTCGGTGGAGTTTTTTAGTGAGAAGTTGTGTCTGTCGCGACAGAAATGGAGTGTGTGTGAACAGGAACTCTACGCAGTTGTTCGAGCACTAAAGCAATGGGAGCCATATCTACTGCATCAATAATTTATCTTATGTAGTGACCATCGTTCGCTACAATTCATCAACAATCAAAAGCATATCAGCCGCATGCATGCAAGATGGATCTTATTTCTACAACAATTCTCTTTTGTCCTTCAACATAAATCGGGATCGCAAAACAAGGTGGCAGACACTCTCATCCGAAGACACGCACTTCCTACTCAACTGCAGATGGAAATCACGGGGCTAGAGTGTTTATAAGAGTTGTATGTCGCTGATCAAGATTTCAGATAAATTTGGGCTCAATGCTTGAACCAGGAGATGGACAAAGAATCCTCCAAACAGGAAACGAGCAAGGAATTTTCCGTAAGGCATGGATTTCTCTTTAGGCTAAACCAACTTTGCATTCCAGACTCCTCTTGGAGGCCTCAACTAATCAAAGAAGTTCACTGCGGTGGACTGTCCGCTCATGTTGGAAGGTCAAATACTGTTGCACAATTGCAGTCTCATTTTTTTGGCCCCATTTGTCAAGAGACGTTATGCAGTTTGTTGAAAGATGCTCGGTTTTCCAAAGTTACAAAAGTGGGGGAGGGCATAACGGATTATACCTTCTGTTACCTGTGCCGGACACCATATGGGAGGATTTGAGCCTCGATTTTGTTTTGGGATTTCCTAGAACCAAACGGGGTCATGACTCCATAATGGTTGTTGTTGACATATTTTCGAAAATGACTCATTTTGTTCCCTGTAAGAAGACATTTGACACCCTTAATATTGCACGAATCTTCTTTGTTGAAATTGTTCGGCTCCACGGGGTACCTTTGAGCCTTACATCTGACCGTGACGTCAAATTTATAAGTCATTTATGGAAAGAGTTATGGAAGAGTCTGCACACTTCAATTCAGCTTAGTTCCGCTTACCACCCGCAAATCGATAGTCAGACAGAGGTGGTGAACTGAACCCTTGGCAACATGCTACGATGCATCGTTCAAGAGCATCCCAAGTTATGGGATGAAATCCTCGGGCAAGCAGAATTTGCTTATAATAGTATGACTAACCGATCCAGTGGGAGGTCACCATTCAGCATCGTGTACACTAAACAACCAAATCACACCATCGACGTTGTCGTGCTGCCAAAGTGCTCCAGCAAGCCCGCAACCTCTTTTGTTAACCAATTTTCTTCCATGTTACAGGAAGTTCGTGTCAAACTATTGGAGTCCAATAACAAGTACAAACTGAAGGTCGACGTTCACCGCCAAGAGAAGATTTTCAAACCTGTGGATTTAGTAATGGTTCGACTCCGACGTGAACGCTTCGCTCCGAGAACTTACTTCAAATTGAGCCCACGAAAAAATGGACCTTTTTCCTATCCTCAAACAAATCAATCCCAATGCTTATGTCGTGGACTTACAAGCTCATTTCAACACTTCTAATACTTTCAATGTTGCTGACCTCTCCCCTTACCACCCGCCTGACGATGCACGGATAATTATCTCTTCATCGGAGTCGGACTCCTCAGTTGATTGGGGAGAATGATGCAGTGCATCACAGTTGGCTGGCTTAGTTATTTATGCCTACGGTTATTTCTTTTTGCATTTAATATTTATTTTAGAATTGATCCCACATTCTGTTATGGCATGGTCATCCCATTAGTTGTCTTTCCCGTTTTGGATAGTTTAGTACATAGAAGCCTTTTTTATTGGCTCACTAGTTTCAGCAAGAGTGATACCTCTTGACAGTATTTCATGTATCTCTTCTCCGGGAGAAGGGTAACACAATTTTTTTTATCCTCTATAGTAAAGCTTCGGCTAAAGGCCTTTTGGGTATTCGTTCTTGGCATTTTGCACCTGCTTCTACCATTGAATACCGCATTAACCTTGAGTTAAAGGCCGATTAGGAGAAGGTTAAGATAACTTTTTATGGTAAGAGGGGGAAGTATTTTATCTACGACTATATACAATTAAGGTAGCTTTCCTTCAAAACAAAAATAGGGAATATTAAACAACGATAAATTATGGATGTCATTAGGTGGCAATAGACATCAACAAATATCAAACAATGGTAGGCATTAGGCTATGATGGAGGTCGGGGGACTAATGATGTCATGTGATGATAGCTGATGTGATCATTCATATGTAAGATCGGGATTAGACTGACGAGGGTCCCTTGAACAACTGATAATTGTTGGATGGCCCAAGTTCTAGAATGATGATGGAACAAAATGGTCATATGTTAGCAAAAGAAGGTTAACGAGGGAATTCAGATACAATTTGATGGCATTCCAACTAATACTTGGAGCAATAAAAATCTTCAGGATTCAAGGACTTCTACATTTTTTTTCTCTCCTGGGATGAGAGAGGGTCTAATTGAATTGTTTCTTTCAAATGAAGGAAAACTCTAATTAGTTATTATAATAAGTCAAATATGTGAAATTTTTTTCTTGAAAAATATAAAATTTCTAAAGTAGAGCGCATTGGCGCTGATCTAGTGAGTGTTGCGGTATCAAGCCATAAATAGTATATATATATATATATATATATAATCATTGTCTCTTCCCACCGACTTCCTCACTTGGGTGCTTGGCTAGAAAGAAATTGAAAGAGGGGAATAAGAGAAAGAAGATAAAAGGTCTTTGGATCATATTTGTTAGTTATTCATGTTACATATTTTATTTTATTCGTTGTAAGTGACTAATCTCTTAATTCTGTTTTTAATTATTTTAATTTTTATGGATTTTATCTCTCGTAAATTTGTTAAAAATACATTATTTTCTAATTTCATAAGCTTTCGCCATGCAAGTTTGGACTTATTATAGATTTGATCATTCTAAAAGATTTGATATTATTTTATTGCACTTTAAATGAAGAATTGAATGATATTAGATATATGATATGATAATTCCACGTGATATCTTACTGATCCACATGATTCATTAATTGAAAGTTATAAGGAGTTGGAGATTGATTGGAGTTATAAGAAGTCTGGGCACCTGATTCACATAATTCAAGGGGAGTTATAAGAATTACAATGATTGAGAGTTATAAGAGATGACTGATTGGGATTCATAAGTGTATATAAGAGCAAGATACTCTTAAGATACACTCATTGAATATATAAATCCTAATACTGACGCTATTGCGAACACTGTACTATTATTGTGACTGACACTAATACTGTTTACTATCATGAATATTATTTAATGTAATTGATCATGATATTAATGTTGTTACTATATTAATATTATTGATTATTACTGCTACTATGACTCATAATATAATGTATTAAGATGTGATTAACTATAGAAGGATAAATTGATGCAGATAATCAATATAGACATTGATGCATATATTTCTTTATATGATTTATAGCATATTTTTCTCTTTTATCTTGCATTTATTTTAGTTGTGATATTTTAATTACTTGCTAGCCTATGTGTTCATTAAGTGGTTTTACATGTTTTTAGGAAAGGGTAAAGATCCTATAATTTAAGGCTCATGATAAGACAAAAATGCAATCATGTTTCTTTCTTATGTTCATTAATAAGCTATAGCTAAATGATTAAAATAAAAGACAAATATAATTCTTCCAATATAGATCCTGAAGTGTGACGGTTATGAACAATCATAATTAGTATATGAGGATTAACACATGGGATAATATAAGTCTATATTAGTTTATCGAAGAGAGCAGAAGGGATGGTCTCATCCTGGAATAAATGATGAGATGATTAAGTCTATGAGATGGGTTGCTTCTTAATGAAGATGATGTTGATCATATAGATATTAAATGTAAAAGTTAAAAATAATAATAATAAAAAAACAAAGTACATATGGATTTTTAACTCATTTATCGATTCTCTTATGCACACTGTAAGATTGAGGAAAGGGTTCCATTAATTGAGTAAGAAGGAGATTGTAAGTATCTTGGAACTAGGTTCTCACCCTCTTAGTTTATATTATAATAGAGTTTTAGTGGAGCTTGAGTTTATCTTATTTTGTATCATTTATATTTAATGGTTGAAGACATCTAAGAATGAAATATTTGTAGCATTAGTATGTTTATCGTGGTTTCAAGATGGATAATGATATTGAAGCTATGAGCAAAAAGCTCTAACAATGCGAAACATTATGAGCTAAAATGGAAAGCTAAGACCTGACCAAGTGACAAGTGGCAAGCATCAAACAATCATTTATGTGATGAATGATTATAATCCATAGGTAGTTGTGAGATGATGAATTTTCATTAGTTAGTGTAAAATATTTCCAAATTAGGATATCTTGACAGGCCAATTATAGATTTATAAAAAAAAAAAAAAAAAAAAAGATAGAAGGTTGATGAGTCATATTTTGGTATGAACAAATATGTCTAGCTAGTGTTGTTGTACATCAATATATTAACTTATAAATTCATTTATTATTATTTTTCATATGAATGATCCTTGCCATCATATAAAAAATCATCATAAAAAAATTGATACTTCTGATTATTCATATTATATAATACTATTTAAACTCGATGATGCGGTGAAATTCATTACACTTAAATTTATATTATAAATCAAGCATATTTATCATTCATTAAGTATTGTAGGTTGTCTTATGCCTTTTCATTTATGTTTTAATACATAGTAGTTATTTTTAGAGTTGTTATGTCATACTCATTTGATAACTACTATTTTTTAACCAACTTTACTAAGTTATTTAGTGGATCTTGGTTGCAAGGGTGGTTCTTTTAGAATTAGTTTTTTTTTTCATTATTTCAATATTTAAGTTATTTATTTAGATTTTTATTGAATTTTTTTTAGTTATTGCACAAATAATTGATTTCCTTCATTTTCATTACAACATAATATGCATGAATTGTGGATGAAGGATTCAAATGTTTGATTTTGACTCATTTGGAGTCAAATTTGATACTTTTGATTTTATTGAGTTCATCTCGTCAAAACATTTATTATGACTTTAAGTTTGTTGAAATCAAAATTGTAATAATCTTAAATTTAATTTCAAAATTTTGCAATGAAATATTACACTAAAATTTATGCTCCATTATGTTAATTTTTTAGTAAAGTATTAAATATATGTTAAAAATACATTGAATTGTCTAGTGTAGGACATTGGCAAGATGATACCACTTCATATAGAATATATCACATCAATTATATATTAAAAATGCATTGAACCTTGAGAATTAACATTGCTTACTTGATTATATGTAATAGTTCAAATCCTTAACTATCTTTGAGCTAGCAGACTCATGATTTTTTTCTCTTGGTGTAACTTCTCAGCAGTCACCAATCCCAATAGTGCTCCTGTATGATCACACTTAACTTTAGAGTTTTTAATGAAATTTCAACTGTTACACTAAAAAACACATCAATGTTTAATAGTTTAGACAATCAATGTCAACATCAGTTTCCTTAACCTAGATTAATCATTCAACAAACAAATATAACTATAGAGTTAAATTTCTTATCTTCCAACTGTTGCATTGCACAAATAACAAAACCCAAACTCGTAACTATTGAGATATTATCTGCTTTGACTTAACAACCTTATGATTTTATATTTTTTGGGTAACTTCTCATTAGATCACCAATCGCGTTCATATACGATCATACTTAACTTTGAAGTTTCTAATAAAATTTTAACTATTACATCAAAAGTTATTTCAATGCTTAAGAGTTCAACTTTATTTTTAACAAGGGGTTCTGCATTTTAATTGAAAAAAAAAAGAAAAAAAGAGCCAGGATACCTTGAGAATCAACATTGCTTATTATATATATATATATATATTGGAACGAAGTATCCACCTGCTGCCAGCCCCGAAATGACATTTGACAACGTGACTAATACTCGACATACCTAGAAGATGCACTCACCCCAGAAACCTCCTGGCCCGCACTTGATTGGGCTCCGCTTAAGAGGCGCGACGGGTTGAGAAGTTTCCAACTGCACTCGTCCACCAATCAAACTAAACAAAGGTGGGTGCTTATTTTATTTTAAGTGCAAAAAAAAGAGGCTTCTCTAGCGAAATCAACCGATGATCATGATTGTTTCCCAAGAAACGCAAGACTACGGTAACCTTCTCCTGCACGTGCGTCTCACACGAGTCTTCTTCAATTCCAACGTTCGAATCCGTTAGCCGCCTACTCAATCCCGCCGTTTATAAAACAAACATCGCTCACCTATCTCTAACAGAGAAGGAAACCCTGCATACTCTCAGCTGCTGGAAATCTCTTCCGGCAAGCAGAAGTAATATTCATTCCATCGAGCTCAAACGCCGGCGATTTCCTCCAACAACCTCACTTATTCATTTTGAGAATAGTTTCTCCATAAGTGAAGAAGGTTTGATTTGATTTCTTGAAGTCGCTCAATCTCCGGCCATGGCCGATAACTTCAGCGAAAGCTTGTCTTCTGATCACGTGCAACTCAAGATCCCCTCCGGAGATTCTCCATATGTGAAGGCCAAGCATGTTCAGGTAACAAGTCTTTATTCTTGAAGAAAGCTTCATGTTTCTTTATGTTCTTTCATACTCTTTTTTTTTATGATGTAATTTCATTTCCATTAATGTCGGGTAGCTTGGTTTCTGCATGAGGTGGAGGGTGATATTTTAGTTTCTTTAGCTACTCAAAGATTTTGAAAAGGGCATAAAAGAAAAGTTTAAAACTTTTCTTCCCTCTTTGTGGGTTGAATTATAGGAAGATGACTAGATGTTTGATAGTTTGCTTAAATTGCTTAATTAGCTTTATTAAATAGAAGAAACTTACGGAAACACAAAAAGAAAAAAAAATAATAATTATAAAAGAATTTTATACTGGCTCATGCAAATGATGAGTTCATCATGTTGCCACCTTTGCAAATTTTACTCTTGATTCTGAAATTTATAACCATAAATTCTGCTGTACATAGGACATATAAGCTCTCCTTTTCATAAAAATAAAACTTAAGAATGCTGAAAAATACAGTAAATTTCTCCAAATAATTTTAAGGTTAACGCACAACTAAATCTGTGTAGCACTTTTCTTTTTACATATGAATTCTTGATACTGAATCACTATAATTAATTAAGCATCTTTGATGGTTTTTAATTTTGCTTAATGAATTCTTTGGAGTGTTAGTTGGTGGAGAAGGATCCAAACAGAGCTGTTGTATTGTTTTGGCGTGCAATAAACTCTGCGGATAGAGTTGACAGTGCTCTGAAAGACATGGCTGTAGTGATGAAACAGTTGAATAGAGCCGAAGAAGCTATTGAGGCCATTAAATCTTTTCGAGGACTGTGCTCTACAAAAGCACAGGAACCTCTTGATAATGTTCTTCTTGACCTCTACAAGGTAAGCTGTTTCTTAAAATGCTATTTCAAATATTGTTTCTACTTTAATTTTGTTTTTTAATGTAATGTTTGTACAGAAATGTGGAAGGGTCACTGAACAGATTGATCTGCTCAACCACAAGCTGAGGATGATTGATGAGGGCATTGCTTTTGGTGGGAGGATAATGAAAACGGCTAGGTCACAAGGGAAAAAATTCCATGTAACTGTTGAGCAAGAAAAATCTAGGTAGACCTCTATCTAATTCAAATCATTTCTTAAAAAACTTATTGGACATGTTGTTCATGATTGTTTACCGTATTTATCTCTTCAGGTTGTTAGGCAACCTTGCCTGGGCTTATATGCAATGTGAAAATTACAAAGAAGCCGAACCGCTTTATCGGTTTGTTTCTATCTCAATCTTATGTTTGAAAAACTTTTTGATTTCATTCCTGTTAACCGAGTGAAATCAAAAGGCTACTTTAATGAGTTCTGAATCATGAGAATATGTTCTTTGCTGCTACAAAGCATACATTCCTAATTCTTAATATGTTTTGGGTTGCAGAAGAGCTCTGGAAATAGAGAAAGATTACAATAAGATGTGCAACTTAGCTATCTGCTTGATGCAGACAGGAAGACTTGCAGAAGCCAAAATCATCCTTGCAGATGTTAAGAAACCTACTAAGTACTGCAATGGAGAATCCTATCAGAAATCCTTTGAGAGAGCATGGGAAATCATGAATGAATTGGAGCTGATACCAGACCAAAAAACAGTAAAGAACAATTCCTCAGTATCTTCTACCCTATGCTCTTTCAGTGATGAGAAAGCCTCTACAGCTCCTTTGGATTTCGACATGGCATCACTGGATCATGAAGTGTCACCTGATGCTCTTTCCCAGGGCAGTATATGGGGGTCTTCTTCTCAAGAGGCTTCTCTTTCACCTGTGTCAGTAAAAGTTACTTCGCAATCCAAGCCTGTGATGATATCAGAGTACTCAGTTGAAAGGAAAAAAATAGATAGTGGGACTGAAAATATGCTCATCAGGCTTGACATCCAGATTCATAGGCCAAAGAGCAAGGAATTTGTGGTTGACAGCAAGAAAGTTGTGACATCAGTCTCAAATGATCAAAGCTTTGACAAATTAAAAGCCTTCACTGATGAATTTCAGAAAGAAGAAGATGGTGCAGGAGCTAAGATTTCTTTTGAAATTCCATATTTGAGCTCAGGGCCAAATGTAGAGTCCTTTTTCTATAAAACTGAGAAAAAGACATGGGCTGATATGGTGGAGGAGGATGAGCAATTGGCTTTTGAGAATGCTGAGATCAGTAGTAGTTCACTAAAGTTTGCTGGAAGATCTTGGGCAGACATAGCAGAAGAGGAAGAGAGGTCAGACAATAAGAATTTTGAATTCGGAAGCTGTGGCAGGAATCAGAAATCAGCAACTAGGACACCTATTTCTTCCTTTAAGAAGCTAAATAGGAATGAGACCCAAAAGTTGAAACGTGACAATATGAACTCTAGCAAACTAAAGACTTCCTCTTACAAATATCTAAGTGGTGGATGCAAAGAACTGAGTGGGAGGTGGCGAGGAACCGCGAAGAACGCCGAACCGGAACGTAGATCATTGTCTTCTGATCGACGGCCTGGCTGCAATTTGGAGGTTAGAAAGCTTGGGACTGAGTTAACAGGTAGTGGTGGTAAGTCTCATGATGATTCAGATTACTTGTCTGGGATGGGTGGAAGGTATAGATGTAGGAAGCAGTGTAATAGGCTTCAAGTTTTCCAGGAAATCACTACAGGTGATGCAAAAGCTTGAACTGTTTTACAACAATTATGATAAGTTCACTGTTTTTTCTTGTTCAATTTCACTGGTTTTGAACTTTTTGGAAAGGAAAAAGGAGAAAGTGATTCCTCTTTTATGTATAAATTGAGAGATATACTCTGTAAGTTGTGTAATTGTATTGCTAATAAGTTGGATGATATTTCTTGTGAGACAAATGATTGGAAGTATTACAAAAAGTAGTTAAATTCAAGATCATGTTGTTGTTGAAGTGACTATGGTATGTATATGTAATCAATGGTTAGAGAGCCACTGCTTATGTGACATGCCAATTAGCATTAAAGAAAAAGAAAGACAAGTCAATCGGTGGCTAAAAATACAGTTAATGATACATTAAAGTTAATTATGTGAGCAATAAAAAATCAAAATGACTGATTTAATGAACTTACACACGAAGTCCTTTGGATTAAGTTGAACAAGTCATTATAAGAGTCTAAATCTGATTCAACCAGCCTCTAGCAATCAACCCAATTGATACTCGCCCAAAGCTTCTTCTATTCCTAGAGCATAGACTAGCCAAGTCACCTAGGAGACAGACTTATTGGTCTAAGGAACTCATCTTGTTGAACTTGCCCAAGATGGTGTGTGAAGTTGTCTACTCGTCGGCCTGTAAGGATTCAATGGAGACGAAACATAAATTCATCGAATCTGAATTATATGTCAAATCATCGGAAGAATTATCAGAAGCGTATATGAATTCATTGAAATGCAAAATTGAGGTTTTCGATCTTCCACATTTGAAGTGGCGTTCTCCAAGAGAGGAGAGACCCATTCTTTTCACTCGAGATGGGAAATGAGAACTTCACTGCTTAAACTATGAACCACGATCATTTTATACTTTAAATGTATTTATTTTATTTTATCCCATCATTAAAATAAAATAAATACTTGGCCTCTACACAATATTTAATTCTATACAAATTTAATTGAGATGTCATATAAGCCAAATAATAGTTTAATCCTTAAATACATCAAGAATTTAATTGGCTCAATTTTAAATAGCTTATAATGTATAATACTTTATTTATATATATACATTTAAATAGACCCCCATAAAGAAAATTTTCCAACAATCTCCCACTTGGGTTACACACACTATATATATAACAGTAAGAGCTCAAAATTTGCTATTTTTATGAAATAACATCTCTAGATAATCTGGTCCATCAATCATATCAATATAAAATCAAAATGACATTTGTTACATTGCTCGTAACAAGACCTATCAATGGTCACTATATTAATATAATTAACGACATATATCAAGTATGTATGTGTAGCATGAAAATTTCATGTAATATGATATCAAAGCATGACTATTTTTAACTGGTTTAATATTATCACATCAATGAAAAGAAAACTTTTCGTGGCAGTCTGTGTTGATGCATTTAGGAAGTGGCTACAACGATTGTAGAGGAGATCATCAAGCAGGGATGTACATTGATGACTATATTGCTTGTGGAATGTTACCTACCCTCAACTCGACGAGCTTGCTAGAGAATGGATCGTCAATTGGTTACACATCTGTTAAAAGCTTCATTGTTGATAAGGATTTGGTGAAGAGATCTTTCGATTGATTTTGAGATGTCATATGTTGGATTCAGATTCTTTTGGATGGGATGTGTTTGTAAATAAAGTGGTAATCGATCATAACGTACTTTGTTCTTGTATGAAATACTGGATTTTTTGCCAATGCATTACAGATGTGTTGTCGCAATGAAGTGGAGTTGGTTGCAGAAGTGAAATATGAAGTTCTTGAATGAGTTGATAAAGCCATATTATCTCTACCATAATTGTACGTGGAAAGAGCATGATATTTTGTTTCAATAGATGAGCTGGTTATGGTTGGCTGCTTTTTTAAGTTTCAGGAGATGTGGGTTAGGGGTGTAAACGAGTTTAGGCCCTTATCGAGCTCGGCTCGGTAGTTGGAAAGCGAGCTCAACATGCGAGCTCGTCTCATTATAAATGAGCTCGAGCCGGCTCACAAGTTATGGGCGGAAATTTTTAAATTTAGGTGGGATTTTTAAAAATTAGGCTGGATTTTTTAAACTTAGTTCAAATTTAGAAAAAAAAAAGAAGAAATGTTTAACATTTAAATAAAACTTATGTGGTTTTTATTATTGAAATTTAGTAAATAAAATAAAATTATTTTTAAAATATTAATATTTATTCAAGCAGACTTGCGAGCTCACGATCCGAGCCGGCTCAAGCTCGAACTCGAGCTCGAGCTTGACTCGTAAGCTCGATTCGCGAGCCCATAAACGAGCCGAGCTCGAACTAGCTCTGCTCACTTACACCCCTAATGTGGGTGCCATTAACGTAAGAATAGTAGCTTATGGTTGAACATCAATCTGATAGGTCTCCAGCTCAACTGAAGTACGACTAGGAGTGGAGGGAGAGATTACCTCTTAGAATTTGAAGGTCATGAGTTGAGGTTCCTTTTAAGGCAACGAAAATGTTTGATGAGTTTGTAGTGGCTATATATTTAGTGAGTTGCGCATAGTTTAGAATAGTGAAATGTTTAGGTGGGCTATAGTAAAGTATCAGAGTGAGAGATGCTAGTAGGTTGGGTTAGAGAATGGTTGAGGAGATTCATTTGTTAGAAATTAATGTTCGGTAGGCATGGGTTGAAAATTGGTTTCAAGTCCCTTACCTCATTTTTTATGTAAAAATTTTTACAAGTATTTTTCTTGACTTAAAAATAAGACATGTGGAGTGGAGCATACTTGATGCTGAGGAAGCAATGTATGGGGACTAAATTTTCATGCTGAATTTCAAGTTCATTTGTTGAATGAGTGTAGTCATGTGGAGATGGACATGGTTAGGGGTGTAAGTGAGCCGAGCCGGCTCGAGCTCGACTCGCGAGCCGGCTTGAGCTCGACTCGCAAGCCGGCTCGAGCTCGACTCATTTATGAGCTCATGAGCAGAGCTTATCAAGCCACGAGCTCGAGCTCGAGCTTAAACGAGATCGAGTTCTAGCTTGATAAGACTCTGCTCATGAGCTCACGAGCCATCTTGAAACTATTATATTTAAAAAAAATAAATTACCGCCCAACCTATTTTAAATTACCGTTGTTTTAAATTACCGCCCACACTAGGGGTGTCAATTTCGAGTCACGGGTTGGCTTCGGGTTGAAACCCATAACTGACCGGGGTTCAAACGGGTTGACCCTAACTCGACCCCGGGTAGGTAAATGGCTCGGAAGTCCGGGTTGACCCGACTCGACATGGGAAGGCTAGTTGCGGGTGGCGGGCTACTGATGACTCGGACGCATGTGTGGGCGGCAAATCCAAAAAATATGCTAATCTCTCTCTCTCTCTCTCTCTCTCTCCCTCCCTCCCCCCTCCCCTACAGTTGTAAAATACCGTCAATTATTATTATTATTTTTTTAGAACGGTGCCCGAGGCTTGAAGATCGGGTCGAACTCGTTTATGGCGGAACGAGTCAAGCTCGAGCTCGACTCGAGTTCGAGCTCGAGCTCGATATTTGACAGTTGAGCTTGACTAAAACACCCTCTAACTCGAACTCGACTCGACTCGTTTGCACCCCTAGACATGGTGCAGCTGTTGGTGATTAAAATGCGTCTACATAAAAGCGAAGGTAGATTTGGATGTGATTATAAATAAAAATAAAGAAATAGAGATTGATCAATTTACTATAAGGAAAACCATAAAACATCATATGGCCTTAGAAGGTTGAGTACCATCATTATAGAGCTTGCTTGAGCATATATATCACCTTATTTAGTAGACAAATGAGAGATATTATGGGTCTATAAATCCTTATGGCTGGCACAAGAAGCCAGACCTTACGACCATACCATTTGGCTAAGCTTGGTTTTGTAAGTCTAATAATAATTGGGAATATTTTGTGTGGGTGAAGAGTGCACCAATCTCCAAGTTCATTATTGTTGGAGATTAAGAAATTCAACAGGCTTGGCCTCTCACATCAATGTTGTAGTTTGTAAATAAAGATTTTAGGATTGTCAAGTGTTCATTTTGCAAATCAATTTCATTAAATTTTTTAAATAAAATGAGATATTTTATGGATATTTTTTAATAATTTTTTAAGCTCCAAAAAAATTTATTTGAATTTTCTATTGAATATTGATTAAATTATATAATCATATTATTATTTATTTATAAATATCTTAAGCTAGTTAACATAATTTAATAAAATCTATTTCCTTTAATTCAATCGGCAAACATAGAAGGAAATAAGTATTTTAGAGAGAAAAGAGAGGAGAGTGAAAAAAGAAGTTTGGGTTTGAAGGCCGTAGAGCGATTTTCATTCGTTAACCATGTTAGAAAATTTTCTCTTCAAGCTATAAGAAGTCATTATCTTATTTCTAATTTCAATAATTTGTTGTTTTTAGAATTTATCCGATCAAATTTATATTTTCGTTATAAAAAAATGAGAATAATGTTATTTTGGTAAAACTTTCATCGCGTAACTTTTTATATGTTATAGAATTGTGATTACAAATATTTTGAGTATTTATTTAAAAATTTTCACTCGTTGTTTAAAAAAAAAAAGCAATTTTTATCGATTCAGAAATTTATTGTGATATGATGGTTTAGCTCAATTAAAGCTTCAAAATATTATATATGATCTCTGATAATTTAATAAATTTTTAAAAATATGAATTTTTGTTTAGTAGGATTTTCTGTTGCCTGTTGTTAGAACATTTTGACATTTCTAAATTAAGCATAATTATACTTTATTTATTATAATGGATTGAAAATGAGTGTGAATATATGATTGAGTAATAGCTGATCACTATTACTATTATAGTTTTATTATAATAATGTGTGTGTGTGTGTGTGGGGAGGGGGGTAATAAGTAAAGATTGATTATTCACTGATGTTGGTTAGAGACTGATTGGTATGTACATGATGTTAAACCGACGGACTTTTCTTTAAATAAATGATTTGGTGTTATCATCAGCTAATTCAATTGATAAATTGATTGGGAGTTATAAGGAACTAACTATTATGCCGACGGCCAAAGAGTGATAACTCTGTTAGTGAGTCAATAATTTACTGATATTTATACGATACTTGAGAAATATCACTTAAATCAGATTTCTTACTTGTTTAGTATGACTAGTAAAATATATGTTATTGAGGTATCATTCCTATTA